TGGACGAAGACCTACTTCGACTAGTGGATGGTACCACTGTGACGCCGCCTCCTCCTGCTTCGCCTCGCCTAACTACAGTATATAAGCCACGTCTACGGCCCTATGCTGTACATTCTACAAGATTGATGGACTGAACACATCGACTCCAGGCTGAGGGACTGATTACCTCATACTCCTCCTCTCCTTACGCCTTCCTCTTTGTATTGGACTGATGAAGCCAGTGTGTGGCGAAACGTTTCTTGAATAAAGATTCCCATATGTTGCATAAGTGTCTCAATCTTCATGTAAGACTTTGCTTGACCAAGGGGTACAAGACCTCAACAAGGGTGTCTTGAACACTAAAATGGTATAAAATACCGACAGGTTGTTAGGTAAGACACATATGCAACAGTTAGGTATCTATTTCGAAACGTTTCGCCTACACAGTAGGCTTCTTCAGTCGAGTACAGTATCTTCTGCTTCTATCAACTTTTCTGTACTCGACTGAAGAAGCCTACTGTGTAGGCGAAACGTTTCGAAATAGATACCTAACTGTTGCACATGTCTTACCTAACAACAAGGGTGTCTTCATGTCTGTGAAGGCCACCTTGTCAGGAAATAAGTTGCTCTTTGCTGGAACCTGTTTCAAACCCTTCCGGGTTTAGTATTTGCCTCCAGAATATTCTGCTGGCAGTTAACGGGACCCAGTTGCTTCGTTAACACAGGAATCGTAGTTAACTGCATTTTTTTAACTAATTGGCAATTATTTCATCGAAAATTTACATTCAATGAGACTACTCTGCAAGGTTCTAATTATCAGTCTCTCGGGTTTGTGAAAGTTAAGACACATGTGCAACATCTGGATATCTTTATTGTAGTAGACGTTTCGCCATCCAGTGGCTTTATCAATACAGATTCTAGGACATAATAGGAAGACAGTAGAACTATATACAAAAGATGAGGTAATCAGTCCCTCGGCCTTGGAGTTAGTGTTCACAGCATCGTGGTGGAGGAGAGTCTGGAGCAAAGGCAAGAAGACTGGCGCTTTTTATAGGCGTCAGTGAATGGGACGGGCAGCAGACGAGGGCAGTCACTGGTAGGCGGGATTCCCCAGTGGAAGTAGGTCCTTCCCAAAGAGATGGGTTAGTTGCAGCAGCCGTGAAGAAGGTCTTGTAGATGTCCTCTGAACCAAGATTCCATGATGTTGCAGTGTCTGACAAGTTGCACAACCACTCTCGGGTTTGTGCAGTACAGGACACGTATAGTAGTAGTAACCTCGTGTAATGCTCGTGAATCATTGTTAGGTAAGAACTTTATATACCTCAGGTTTTTCACTGTTAATTAGTTTGTATTTACCATTGACCATGTTTGTAGATGAATGGTTCAGAGAACCGACATGTTGATAAATTAGACACGACCTACTTCAACATTGAACACGACCTATGACTGCTGCACCTCTCCTGCCAACGGTTTATAAGCTGCTTCTCGGCACGTATGCCGTATTCTATTCAAGATTGATGGACTGACCACATCGACTCAAGGTTGAGGGACTGATTACCTCATTCTCCTCCTGTTCTTCAAGATTCTCCTTTGTATGGACTGATGAAGCCACTGTGTGGCGAAACGTTTCCTCAATAAAGATACCCAAGAGTTGCACATGTGTCTAATTTATCAGCATAGACCATACACAACCCGGACATAAAGCCTATGATAACCATACCACGGGCGGGGATAGAACCCGCGATCAGTCTCAAAACTCCAGACTATCGCGTTATAACGTTTGGGTCAGACATGGACCATTTACAAAGTCACACCCCCTCAAGGAAGGTCCCTTGATGTTGGTGAGGGGCTCTTGATTTAGGGAATTGGATCTGTGCTCCAGTTCCCCGAATTAAGCCTGAATGCCTTCCACATCCCCCCCCAGGCGCTGTATAATCCTCCGGGTTTAGCGCTTCCCCTTGATAATAATAATAATAATACAAAGTCACACTAACGCAGAGGGAGCCAGTATAGAGGAGCTGGAGAGGGAGGGCACCAAGAGAGGGAGGGATAGTAGTGGTAAAGCTGGTAGTTGTGCAAGAAAGGTATAAAATACCGACAATATGAAAGTTAAGACACATGTGCAACATCTGGATATCTTGGTTCAGAGGACATCTACAAGACCTTCTTCACGGCTTCTGCAACTAACCCATCTCTTTGGGAAGGACCTACTTCCACTGGGGAATCCCGCCTACCAGTGACTGCCCTCGTCTGCTGCCCGTCCCTATCCACTGACGCGTATATAACCGCCAGTCTTCTTGCCTTTTCTCCAGATTCTCCTCCACGATGCTGTGAACACTAACTCCAAGGCCGAGGGACTGATTACCTCATCTTTTATAGTTCTACTGTCTTCCTATTATGTCCTAGAATCTGTATTGATAAAGCCACTGGATGGCGAAACGTCTACAATAAAGATATCCAGATGTTGCACATGTGTCTTAACTTTCAAAGCTGGTGGTAGTGGTAGCAGTAATAAATTAGGGACTAGTTTTAGTGGGACAAGATAGTGAAGGGTAAAGAGAGACAAATAGGCATTTACCACTTATTGAACATTAAAATGGTATAAAATACCGACAGGTTGTTAGGTAAGACACATATGCAACAGTTAGGTATCTTTATTTCGAAACGTTTCGCCTACACAGTAGGCTTTTTCAGTCGAGTACAGAAAAGTTGATAGAAGCAGAAGAGACTTGAAGACGATGTAATCAGTCCATCACCACCTCAAAACTTTAAGGGTGATGGACTGATTACATTGTCTCTTCTGCTTCTATCAACTTTTCTGTACTCGACTGAAGAAGCCTACTGTGTAGGCGAAACGTTTCGAAATTAAGATACCTAACTGTTGCATGTGTCTTACCTAACATTTACCACTTACATTCCATAACTACAGTAATTTCAACTGACGAATGGCGCAGTTAATTTATGACTTTTATAATCATGGATTGTTAAACCTAGAGGATTATGTTGTTAGGTAAGACACATATGCAACAGTTAGGTATCTTTATTATGAAACGTTTCGCCTACACAGTAGGCTTCTTCAGTCAAGTACAGAAAAGTTAATAGAAGCAGAAGATACTTGAAGACGATGTAATCAGTCCATCACCCTTAGAGTTTTGAGGTGGTCAGTCCCTCAGTCTGGAGAATAGCATTGTTCCATAGTATGAAACAATATGGAGATGAAGTGACAGGATGGAGCTTTTATAGCGCCAAGAGGTGAGACGTAGGCCACTAGGAGAGGTAAGAACTCAGATGTTGAAAGGTCAGGTCCTTCTCAAATCCAGCCGCTCTCACTGGTGGAAGTTGTCGAAGTTGATTGCAGGTCTGTACCAAGATACCCTTGTGTTGCAGTGTCTGACAGATTGAACATTAAAATGGTATAAAATACCGACAGGTTGTTAGGTAAGACACATATGCAACAGTTAGAGGATTATACCGCTTGTGGGGGAGATAAAGGCATTCAGGCTCAATTCGGGGAACTGGAGCACAGATCCAATTCTCTGTATCAAAAGCCCCTCTCCAGCATCGAGGAACCTCTTGAGGGGAGTTAAGCTATGACATTGATATTAAGCACGGCTACATTTATAGTTTTAATAGCTTCCTTTAGCTTCTCTAGTGAAGGTTCGTCTTGTAGCTTCTGACGAGCAGTGGTTGAGGACTTAATGCTGAAGATGCATCTCTCAAGGAACGTGGGAACACAACTTTACGTAAGAACTTGAGTTCAGATGATGTGAACTCTGGACAGTGCTGTATGGCCGTTGTGGTTTAACGCTTCTTTTTATTATAATAATGGGGACTGGAAAGTAAGAGTATTCTTTATCGTGTAAACACGATACTTGGCTCAACCACAGATGACCAGGAGCACGAGATTAACACACGTCGTGAACACTGACGTCAGATCTGTCTGCCGAGTGCGTTTAAAATTATTTCACGTTTACCTTCAGAAATCATCTATGATGACTCGCGAAATCGTAATGACACGATTGGAAACAAACTATACTACGGGTGGGGTTTGAACCTGCGGTCAGTCTTAAAACTCCAGACCGACGTGTTAGTCACCGGGCCAACCCCGTCGGTCTGGAGTTGAGACTGACCCGGGTTCAAACCCCACCCGTAGTATGGTTCTTGTTTAGTTAGGACTTTAACCACCATTGATGGGCAGGACTTAAAAATTTTGGCAGTTTAATGTACCAAATTTTTAGTGTATTTAAAGGTTTGGGGCGGTTGATGTACGTGGTGGTGGTGGAGGATGTTGATAGAAGAGTGGTGACTGAAGAACAAAGGCACAATAGTGACGAACAATGTTTTTAAAAAACCCGCACATACGAGAGAGAGAGATTCGCAACGTTTCGGCTGCTGTTGGAGAATCATAAATGGTTATAACATAGTAATGACCATGTTAGTGTGCGACATTAGTATTCACCGGGGGGAAGACTTGGCCCCCGTCCCTTCGACACTATTTTATTGTCCAAATCTAAGCTAGTCCAGAACTCTTGCCCTTTAAATTTCTCAGATGAACGTAGAAATGTACATTTTAAACTGTATAGCTAACAGTCAAATTGTGAATATTTTTAAGCGGTTTTTTGCCTAACTATTAAAGCCTGAGAAGAAAAGTTATATTCATCTTCATTCTCTGGGTTATTTTTTTGTACAAATGTTAGAAAACCAGCAATTTTAAAAAGCGAGACACTTGTAACATTTGCGTATTCTGAAACTTTTCGCCACGCAGTGGCTTCTTCAGTCCGATAAAGGTGGAGGATCAGTAGTTTGAGGGAACAGTCCCTTAATTTGTTAAATATGTAAATCTGTTTGAATATCGTCAGTCAACTTGTTCATGGTTTAAAAAACCCGACTGATACACGGTCAAGTCTGCAGGTCACCTGTACGATGTGGTGAAATTTAAATTTTTATATAACCTTTACACCTTTTAAAGTTTACTGGGGAAATCTAATTCCTCTCTCCTACAAGTAAATTATTGGTTTCAGGCGATGTGGTTGGCCATGGTAGCCATGTTAGTGGCGTGTGGAGTTGCTGGTGTCCAGGTGGAGAGACTGACGGCCACACCTGTACTACTATCATCACTAAACCCTAGACAGGTCAGTAATGTTACAATATCAGGCAACGAAACCTGCATGTCTTGGCTAGAAGGACCCATAACTAACATAACAGTTTTAGCTGTCTTGCTTTATGAAGCGGCCACATACGCGGTAGCCCTCTTGAAGGGAAGCACCATGTACGGCTCTAGATTAAACCCTTTACCAGGCCTGGTTAAGGGTAATCACCCCTTTACCAGGCCTGGTTAAGGGTAATCACCCCCTTTACCAGGCCTGGTTAAGGGGAATCGCCCCTTTACCAGGGCCCGGTAAGGGTAATCGCCCCTTGACCAGGCCTGGTTAAGGGTAATCGCCCTTGACCAGGCCTGGTTAAGGGGAATCGCCCCTTGACCAGGCCTGGTTAAGGGTAATCGCCCCTTGACCAGGCCTGGTTAAGGGTAATCGCCCCTTGACCAGGCCTGGTTAAGGGTAATCGCCCCTTGACCAGGCTGGTTAAGGTAATCGCCCCCTTTACCAGGCCTGGTTAAGGGGAATCGCCCCTTGACCAGGCCTGGTTAAGGGTAATCGCCCCTTGACCAGGCCTGGTTAAGGGTAATCGCCCCTTGGCCTGGTTAAGGGTAATCGCCCCTTGGCCTGGTTAAGGGTAATCGCCCCTTGACCAGGCCTGGTTAAGGGTAATCGCCCCTTGACCAGGCCTGGTTAAGGGTAATCGCCCCTTGACCAGGCCTGGTTAAGGGTAATCGCCCCTTGACCAGGCCTGGTTAAGGGTAATCGCCCCTTGACCAGGCCTGGTTAAGGGTAATCGCCCTTGACCAGGCCTGGTTAAGGGTAATCGCCCCTTGACCAGGCCTGGTTAAGGGTAATCGCCCCCTTGACCAGGCCTGGTTAAGGGTAATCGCCCCTTGACCAGGCCTGGTTTTTAAAGGGTAATCGCCCCTTGACCAGGCCTGGTTAAGGGTAATCGCCCCTTGACCAGGCCTGGTTAAGGGTAATCGCCCCTTGACCAGGCCTGGTTAAGGGTAATCGCCCCTTGACCAGGCCTGGTTAAGGGTAATCGCCCCTTGACCAGGCCTGGTTAAGGGTAATCGCCCCTTGACCAGGCCCGGTTAAGGGTAATCGCCCCTTGACCAGGCCTGGTTAAGGGTAATCGCCCCTTGACCAGGCCTGGTTAAGGGTAATCGCCCCTTGACCAGGCCTGGTTAAGGGTAATCGCCCCTTGACCAGGCCTGGTTAAGGGTAATCGCCCCTTGACCAGGCCTGGTTAAGGGTAATCCCCCCCTTGACCAGGCCTGGTTAAGGGTAATCGCCCCTTGACCAGGCCTGGTTAAGGGTAATCGCCCCTTGACCAGGCCTGGTTAAGGGTAATCGCCCCTTGACCAGGCCTGGTTAAGGGTAATCGCCCCTTGACCAGGCCTGGTTAAGGGTAATCGCCCCTTGACCAGGCCTGGTTTAAGGGGAATCGCCCCTTGACCAGGCCTGGTTAAGGGTAATCGCCCCTGACCAGGCCTGGTTAAGGGTAATCGCCCCTTGACCAGGCCTGGTTAAGGGTAATCGCCCCTTGACCAGGCCTGGTTAAGGTAATCGCCCCTTGACCAGGCCTGGTTAAGGGTAATCGCCCCTTGACCAGGCCTGGTTAAGGGTAATCGCCCCCTTGACCAGGCCTGGTTAAGGGTAATCGCCCTTGACCAGGGCCCGGTTAAGGGTAATCGCCCCTTGACCAGGCCTGGTTAAGGGTAATCGCCCCTTGACCAGGCCTGGTTAAGGGTAATCGCCCCTTGACCAGGCCTGGTTAAGGGTAATCGCCCCCTTGACCAGGCCTGGTAAAGGGTAATCGCCCCTTGACCAGGCCTGGTAAAGGGTAATCGCCCCTTGACCAGGCCTGGTAAAGGGTAAATCGCCCCTTGACCAGGCCTGGTAAAGGGTAATCGCCCCTTGACCAGGCCTGGTAAAGGGTAATCGCCCCTTGACCAGGCCTGGTAAAGGGTAATCGCCCCTTGACCAGGCCTGGTAAAGGGTAATCGCCCCTTGACCAGGCCTGGTAAAGGGTAATCGCCCCCTTTACCAGGCCTGGTAAAGGGTAATCGCCCCTTGACCAGGCCTGGTAAAGGGTAATCGCCCCTTGACCAGGCCTGGTAAAGGGTAATCGCCCCTTGACCAGGCCTGGTAAAGGGTAATCGCCCCTTGACCAGGCCTGGTAAAGGGTAATCGCCCCTTGACCAGGCCTGGTAAAGGGTAATCGCCCCTTGACCAGGCCTGGTAAAGGGTAATGTTGACGCCGGGCGCCCTTGACCAGGCCTGGTAAAGGGTAATCGCCCCTTGACCAGGCCTGGTAAAGGGTAATCGCCCCTTGACCAGGCCTGGTAAAGGCTAATGTACTAGAGCAGGGGTTACCAACCTGGGGTTGACTCACCCCAGGAGATGACGTTTCAAGGGGGTTAGAGTCCTATGAAAAGCACCATTCCGTTTTTTACCGTTTTTTTCTAATTTCTCAATTCATTTTTGACCTTTAAGTCTTCAGAGGTTGGAAGCACCTGGAGTAAAAGCAACCCATCGTAAATACTTCTTCCCAGGCGTTGAGATCCCTCAAGATTTAGATACCCCTTGAATGTTTTGCAGCTGTGCCTTTAGCATTGACATTGACCTCTGGGCACCATATTCAGTTCTAATATAAATGAACGAAACATTGGGCGTGTTTCTTTCCACCTGTTGTCTATGTTCCCCATCAGTAAAATGGGTACCTGGGTGTCAGTCGACTGGTGTGGGTCGCATCCTGGGACACTGACCTAATTTGCCCGAGATGCTCAGCATAACAAGTGGCTTTCTATGTAGTAGTATGTCATTGTTGTCAGCTAGGACTGTATACCATGTACATGTACTTGTAGTAAATAAAGATTATTATTATTATTATTATTATTACTACTGTAGCGCCAGCCAGGTTTATCATAATACGGGTAGTTTAGTAACTACGTACGGCTTGTATGTTAATGGAATATTTTGGCTATAAATGGTAGGTAGTTTTTTCGCCATCTGAAGTGGCTAGTAGGTTAACTTGAATTTTATAAGGGGCAATAAAGTGATAGTTAGTTAATGCCATTTAGGAAGGGTTTAATCAAAGACCCCGTTAATCTTCCCGTTACTGAAAGTTGTTTAAATTCTGAGGTTAAATAACTAAGGGGCAGGGGAAGGGGGTGACCCCTGACTATGTAGGTGCACAGGGGCCAGCAGTCAGATTTTTTTATTTTTACTTAAAAACAATTCAGTATAACATATAATATACATATAATCTCAACTTGTGCTTTATAGTAATCTGTTTACATTAATGTTTTATCACTGACTTTATCATTGCTTAGTTAATCTTAAGTTAATTTTAAGCCAGCCCGTAATGCTATGCATAGTATAAGTGGCTTTGGCATGCTGCTTTTTTTCTTATTTTTTTTTGTACCTCTGTGTGCTCAAATTTATAATAAATAAATAAAATAAATAAATTGCAACCTATCCACTACCTACTCTCGCCGCTGATTACGAAAACCCAGGGCGATAATAACTTTAAACCCCCCCCCCCCACCCTAAAAGATACCCTTGGTGTGTACCACTCAAACCTGGTACAATTTTATACTAAAGAAAAAAAGGCTGTCACCTGCCGCCACAATGCTAGATCCATCCCCCACTATCTGTATGGACGGCCATCCACGTGACATCAAAGATTTAATATACACAAAATATATTAAAAGGTCCCTCGCCTATGGCCCCGCCCGATGGCTCGAGCCCCATCCCCAAAACCCCCACTGGTTGCATGCCTACATTAAGACACATCTGCAGAACATAAACCATTACAAATAAAATACTTTACACACTAAGCCAACAGTGGCTGCAACCGACTATGACCCATCAGGATCAAACATGATGAGATTGCAGAGCCCAAAGCCTTCTTCCTGTAGGCAAAGAAAACAAACTAACCTTCCCTCCGGCAGCAGATGCCACACTCCAGCATTCTGGCATACCTTAACGCACGCAGGCACTTGTAGCCACCATGCATAATATTCGTACACCTCCACTCGTGCCATGAACACAACCAGGACAACCACTAGTACCAGAACATGAACCAAATGTGACAGTGACACACTCCACCCTGGAGCGCTGACTGACAATAAGAGTCCCAACAGATTCACCCTCGCCACTGGACGGCCAGCCCGAAGTCTATTCCCTGATCTAGGCCCCACCCCTACATACTAAGCATTTCACTTACCGTGAGGGTACGGTAACCCTCAAAAAAATATTCCCCCCCACCTAGTCCCATATAGATCCCCATTCCTACACAGTACGGAATACCGTCGCCGCCAGCACATGCTTCCTCCCTTCCCACGCATCCAATCCCCTCGTGCACCATAATTATAATCATGGAGCGCTAAACCCGTAGGATTATACAGCGCATGTGGGGGATGGAAGGTATTCAGGCTCAATTCAGGGAACCGGAGCACAGATCCAATTCCATACATCAAGAGCCCACATGCACCAGGATGTGTATGTAGTCCACCATCACACATGCTAGCGCCCGTGCTGCACCCTTTTCGACACCCCCCCCCCCTAACATCTAAACTGTGGCCGCAATTCTGACCCAATCTGACCCCTCACGGAAGGTCCCTTGATGTTGGTGAGGGGCTCTTGATTTAGGGAATTGGATCTGTGCTCCAGTTCCCCGAATTAAGCCTGAATGCCTTCCACATCCCCCCGGTGCTGTATAATCCTACGGGTTTAGCGCTTCCCCCTGATTATAATATTAATAATAGACCCAATCTGATTGGGAACTGTTACTTCAGATGAGAGGATTAAATCACTCCTACCCCAGAAAGCCCTTAGTGCTCCAACTAATTACCTTTTAGTAATGTAGCAGATGCTGTATGCAGTGACTGCTTGCCAGCGGTTATTTAAAAATGCTGGTGGCTAATTCATGGCTTGACATAACGTGAGTTTAACATTTTTTTTTTTTTTTTGGTCCTGCCTTTTAATTTGTGTAGATTACCGTAGGTGTGATTTCCATGGCCATTAGGGCAGGAATGTGTGATGGTTCTCTATCGTAAAATTTTTCTACTTCGAATATTCTAGTTGGATATGGTATTGGACTCGAGGCTGGCCATGCTGAAGGAAGAGATACTTAACATCTATGAAGAAGAGCTGAGGAAACACGAAGGAACTATAGAGACGGTGCATAGAGCAAGACGTGTTCCACCACCCTCTCCTCTTCCTGGTGACCTGTGGCATTCTTATACCTTCAACACTGGTGTGGGTAACAGGGAAGGTATGTCGGTAGACCATAATTTTTAAAGGGGGTGAAGGGGTAAGAAAGTGTGACTTCAGTTAGGTGACCAAAAAGCTTAAACTGTATATCATATGAATAAGACTTGTCAGGATACTTATCCACTTTGGTAGATAAGACGCATAGGCAACATTTAGGCAACTTTATTCGGAAACTTTTCGCCTACACGGTAGGCTTCTTCAGTCGAGTACAGAAAGTAGGCAGGAGCAGTAGATGTGAAGACGATGTAATCAGTCATCACCCTTTAAGTCGTAGATTACATCGTCTTCACATCTCTACTGTTCCTGCCTACTTTCTGTACTCGACTGAATAAGCCTACTGTGTACGCGAAAAGTTTCGGAATAAAGTTGCCTAAATGTTGCTTATGTGTCTTATATACCAACCTGTCGGTATTGTGTACCATTTGATAATCACTTCTCCACTTTACTGACGAACTTACTTAACCCATGTGGGTAGACTTCTGTTTTAGTGGCTTCATCCCTGTACTTTTGCTCGTTTTTGTAGCAGAAAGTTTAAAGTTAATCTTGTATGTTCCTTTTTTGTATGCAATGAGTACTTGCCTAAACCTCATGCTGGAGGTTGTAGGGAATAAGTTCTGGAATCTTGTCTGATATTACAACCTTCTGTCAAGACTTGGTAACCTGTGCCTCCAAGGTAGTTTTACAGTTTTTTATCTTAGCCTTATAAGGCGAGCTATCCTGCCTGAAATAATTTAATCTTTGGATTGTCCTGTAATACACATCACTTTGGTTAAAAATTTAGGGATTAGTTAGGGGTTTGCAATTGAAAAATTAGGATATACATATCTTAGATAAAAGGATGTGCAACTGATTTTATTGTGGCAGTTTTGCTCTACAGGAGCTTTCAATTACAGCTTGACAAGCTCCTTGGAGGGCAAAATGTTGGCACAGTAAAGTCTCGTACCTTCACTTTTCATTTTTACCTAACATTGAAGGTAATTTTACCCAAATCATTTAAATGTACATAAAATGGTCAGCACTCGGGCATAATTCTTGGCCAACCAGTGATTAGTAGTTCGTCTTGGGCAGTCTGACCCAAAAAGAGCATCTGTTCTTGACTGCTTGGACAATAACCATCCAGCAATGTGACGGCTTACCTTTTGGACATCATTAGAACAAATAGGAGTGGCTGGTAAACCAGCCAGATATCAGCAATGATTGTTTATGGCAGTATCTCTGCTAATAGCACCATTTGTAGCTGATATAATTTGGAGGTTGCCTGCAAAATTAGTTGGATTACCCACCAAAACTGCATTTAATTACTACATGAATATTGACTGTTAATATGGCTTCTAAAGTGTGCAAATTCTAAGCTCTAGCCAAATATATTTGAATAAAATTTAGAATTAAGAACATGACAATTGCAGGAGGCATATAGGCCCTTGCTAGTCATGTCTACTAAAGAAAATGAACAGGGCAGCAGCCCTACTGGCCTATCCCAAGGAAAGTCTTGATAAAAACCCACTAACAAAAATATTTATCTAACCCATTGTTAGTGCTACCCAGCGAATAATCTTTGACCCTATTAGCTCGTATGCCAGTCTCTTGAATCCAACCCCATCACCGTGTATTTATCAAACCTAAAAGGCACAATACCGTGACTGGGGAAAAGTACACAAAAAAACCCGCACACACCCCACAGCTTCTAGGATGACGTTTGTCAACTTGTGACTATTAGTCATACAAAACAGAAAAGTTATGTTCATGTGGGCTTGCCAGGACGGTCCGGGTCCTGTTCCAGGTCCAGGTCTTGCCCAGGGGTGACCCGGCAGTGGTTCCCCGAAGGGTTAGACTTTGTACAAGTTGTGAATCATATACAGCTTTGACATGAACTGTGAGCAGTCTTTAGCACTAGTGTAGCAGTTGGCTACAATCGTCGATGACCTGTAGCTGGGGTACAGTATGTCTTAGATTGAAATGGTGTCAGGGCAGGTGTTGTCTCTGGTATGAGGCTTTCAACTCTGTAAAGCTCTGGTCTGTATGAGACATTAACCCCTTCACTGTCGCAACCCCCAATCCTGAGGCGTCTCCTCGTGTCGCAAAATTTAAATTTTTTTTTCTTATGAAATGATAATCTTTTCCCGATTGTAATGACACCAAAAAAAAAAAAAACTAAATTTGATGGAAAACTGACTGAATTATGCTTTCGCGAAGTTAGCGACCTCGGCGATATTTACAAATCTGCGATTACGCCCACTTTGAGCCTTATTTTCGGCTAATTCCGCTGTTCTAGCCGACTTAACTCGTAGCTATTTCTTTAGAACTCCATTTTTTTCTATCGATCGAGTACAAGAAACTGCCCATTCACAGATTTCAACTACCCAATAATGTGGTCAGAAATTTGCAATTTGGCCAGTTTCACGAAAATTAAAAAATGACTATTTCAAAATAAGGTCCAGAATGAACAATGCAGACATTACTGGCTCTAAAATAACATTTTCTTTGTTCATCAGTCATGTCTCCAGGCCCCTCTGATATTACTCTTGCTTTCTATTTTGAATTTTTTTATTCAAACAAAAAATAGAAGACTTACTATTATGCAGACTACTGCAATACTGTAATAACTGTATAAATAACATCAACCATTTATGACTGCATATTAGAATGGCTAGTTGGACATTTATTGGACAATGGCATCATTTGTTTACTTTTGAACATTGGCAAAAATCAAACATTTCCCCTACTTTGAACTCCATTTCCAGGTTCTTTTTATAGTAAAATCAATCAAAATCACCTCTATTTCTATGTTTTCCATTCTATCAAATGAGACCAAGAAAACGAGAGAATACATTCATAAATACTATACGAAAATAGACCAAAGTCGGCATTTTAATTAAAAAAAAAAGTTTTTTTTTCTCATTATGCACTGCGTGCTCCAGGATTTTTTTTATATGGTGCACACTGACCACACAGACCCATTCTCTCACATGTGGGCCTACCAGCTTTCTCCTGCTTGATTTGAAGCTACTAGAATTTGAGTATATATACGTCAAACACGGTACCTCGTAAGACGTATATATACGGTCGCGACAGTCGAAGGGTTAATGGTACTCTGGCCTTGGTACCAGAACTACTCCAGATAAGTACGTTCTAAGCTCCTCTGTGCGGGTTGTTTATCTAACCAAAATTTCCGAATTTTCCCCCAAGTTTTAAGCTAAATACCCACACAGCATGGTGTTCCCACTAGTCTACTACTTTCCAAGCTCTCAATTTCCTATATCCTTTCTAAATGCAAACTTAAACAAATTTGAACTTGTTTGTTCTTTCTTGGAAGGATATTCTCAGGACCTTTCTCTCATCTTGTTAACTCCCATCTTCCACTTGTACACTTAAATAATTTCCCCTCTTTCTTCGTCTTGATGTAATTTACGGGATATAGATCTTTAACTCTAACCTACCACCATTTACGTACTTGTTCATCCCATTTTTTTTTTTTAATAAGGGACATGGTACTACCTGTAAGTAATATCTGAGTGTGAAAGACAAATTTGCAGTGCTTTCATACACCATTGACCCCCCCCTAAAGCAGTGAAGCTACTGATAATTTTTGTAGCTTGTAGAGTGGTTTGAGGGTTTCAGTTAAAGGGCCGATATTAAAAGTTGATTCGTGCAGCTCCTAGGGCTGGTAATAAGTTTCAGCTTTACAGCTCGAGTTTAAAGAGCTTGTTACAGCTGACAGTTCTTAATGTAGATGACTGTTCTTGTGAAAGAATGCCTAGGCCAATATCCTCCACAAAGGAGGCTGCCATCTTGCCTAGCCATATACCTGTGAAAGATAGGATTACTCAACTGTTGGGTGCCAATGTCTCTGGAGATTGCAAGGTGAAGCCTATCCCTTGTTTACCAGTCAGGAAATACCAGTGTAAATAATGGAGGGGCAGGTTGGGCATATTCTGGCATTGCAACAAAGCTGGGTGACGAGACAATTCTAAAGTGAATGGGGCCCCGGGAGTGGTGTTGTCCCATTAGTCATCACCACCTGCAGATAAACATGCTTACTCATCAGGCACTGTTACTTTTTGGATAATGCACCAAGACATGATCCTAAACTTGCCAAATTTCCCCAAGGGCAGAATGTTGAATTCCTACAACTACCACTGCGCACCCTATGGAAAAGCGGGTGATTGTGAATTTGAAATTTACAGGGATGTTTGGCAAGTGTTTTGGTGCATTTCAGGAGGTGGTGCCATCGGCCTCGAAAAATTCTGGAAGATTTGGTTTAAGATCTTGCTTTGGGGGGCTGTAAATACCTAAAAATGGGGTTTTTCCACATTGTACCTCAATGCAGCGTGGAAGAACTTGTGGCCTTCAGTCACATATTACTTTGAAGGATTTGAGGCTGAGGGATATGGAAGTAATTCTGGAATCATAGCTGATGGAAGAGCTCCAGCAATTAGGAGAGATTGTGTACTTAATGGGGGGGAGTGAAGAGAATCTTAAAACACGTGTTGGCAAACTGAATCTTCATCTTATTAGAGAGCCTCGGGGACAAATGGTAAACACCGGTCTTTCAAATCCGTGGTGCAGTGCAAGTTGCACTTGAAGGTTCTTGGCTCCAGTTACCATAAATCAAAGTTTTTGTGGTTTTGGGTTATTATAACTCTAGGACCAGTGGTAAAAGTTTTTTTTGTCTTGCATTTAAGGCACGCTTAAACCTACTGCATAACCAGTAGCTTTCAATGTGGTTTTGTGCTAACAGTGAGTCGTGTGAAAATTTCAGCAGTTAAGCACATCACTTTACCCATGTCTGGTTTTACTGAGAAATTAAACACTAATAAATTTTAATTTCTATTCTAACCTTCAATTTTAGAGGTTGAGATTGAAGGTGTGGAAAGTGTTGGTAATCTGGGACCTGTGGATATAGACAGAGTATTTCCACTAAACTTGCCAGACATCCCAGCCATCTACAAAGTAAGTTTATGTATCTAGACCAGTTTATACAAATAAGTATGCAGACCAAAAAAAAAAATTGCACAACTTAAATTTTGATAGGGATGGAAAATCATTAGTTAAAATGCATTTTTTTGCAGTCTCCACACCCATCCCTGACCCCTAAGTTCCAACAGGCACCTCAGGTGCTTTTAAGAATCGCTAATTGAATGTGGTTAACTGATGCTGCCTTCTAAACAAGGGGTTTGGGATATTTGTTTAAAGGGATTTGTAAACTAATCTGTGCAACTCTAGCAAAATGGTAAGTGATGGTGAGTTTCTTCTGGGTCCCTATGCCTTGGTGGGAGATAACCAGCATATTAAAGTAAACCTGTTGCTGGTTATTTTTACTTCGTATGATAGTTTTTATTATTAAAATATTTTTCATAGGTCATTTAGCACCCAGCCGTATGTGGTTCAAGTGCACTGTGAATATTGAAATTTCTACTAGTCTTACTCTTGAACACCCCACTTGATTGTGTGTGTGTGTGGGGAGGGGGAGGGGTTGGTTAAAAAAAAATACTTAATGCTTAATTGAACTTTCAGAGTGGTAATGGGCTGAGCTACATTGAAGTGAATGGATCGTTGGTAGTGCTGAAGATTCGTAATAGGTGGACTAGCAGCTCTACTGGCTGTGAATGTAATGAGGGGACAAACTCTATGGCGAGTGTCTTGAGCTATTTAGCATTTTATTAATATTGATTATTTGCATTACTATGATGAAATTGCCTACTCGTAAAATTCATTAGGAAGTTTAGCTTGCAAGCAGCCAACCACGAGGCCTCGTCACAGACCAGGCCACGGGGGCATTGATCCCCGAAACCCTCTCAAAGTATACAGTGTATACAGTACGACTGGAACTGCTACTGGGAAATTTGATAGTTATTACTAACACGTGTAGATAGGGCCTGCACACCTGGCTGAGATAACCACTTGGGAATAAGCATAAGACAGCAGAAAATAACTAGTTTCCATTTCACAGCTGGTATTTACAGTATGTATTATAGCCTATGTACAGTATTTACAATGTACATTGGGGCAGATAGAAAGATGAACAACCAGCAGGGCAGGCAAGTCTGCCAGTTTTGTATCACGTGGCCTTGCAACTTTGGCAGGCTTCCCGTGATTGGCGGGTTGAACAGATTGGCATAACACTGGAACCCCTTTGATCATTGAACCCCTTTTTGTCCCGGTTTTACTGGTTGGGAGGCATGCCTGTATGGGGGTACACTCCTCATAAACATGCAACATACTCTTAGCATACCACTTTGGTTTTGATTTTTATTTTGGAATTCTTTTGCAATAAATCTCTACTTTGTTAGCAGGGTTTTACTAATTTTCTAAAGTCATTTTTTTAAATTTGAATAGAACATTTGTTTGACACCTTTAGAAGTGTTTGAGTAATATTACAATGGAACCTCTGTTTTCGTTTGCCCTTGTTTTCCCTCTAATTCTGTCTTCGGCAGAAATCTGCAACAAATTTACAGGTGTTCCACAGTACTGGGTACCCGAAGTGTCCTTTTCATGGGTTTCATTCAACTAGCGTTTGTCTTTTGTACAGGAGTGTGCATGTTTTCATGCCTGGAGCTGCTTGTGCAGAAGATCTGAAGGTTACACTGGAGACACCTGTGTTGCTTGTGGCTTTCAGAGCACACCTGTCAAGACTCTGGTAAGTACCTTGTTTCTTGTGTTGTAAATTTTGAGTTTTGCCTTGTATGCATAGAATCAGATTGTGATCCAATCTGTTAAATATTTAACAAAAAAAAAGGCCACAATACGTGACAGTAACGATGCACAAATAACCCGCACATGAGAAGCTTACGATGACGTTTCGGTCCGACTTGGACCATTTACAAAGTCAATTTTAGCCTATATATAGCCGTCCGCTCCCCCTTCTGGTCAGCGAGACTTTGTAAAAAGGTCCAGGTTTGGACCGAAAAGTCGTCGTAAGCTTCTCTTTTATGTGCGGGTTATTTGTGTACAGTTAAATATTTCATCTGCATATGGATACCTTCTTTCAGTATCTCTCCTTGTGACAGATAAATAAAATGCACCATGCCACTATTTAATATTTGGTGTTTAGCTTGCCATAAGCTTGTGAAATTTTGCTATGCACATGCAATACATGTATTAAAATTGAGGTAATGTGAGGTAGGGTTGCATGCAGATACATTGCATTACTGTACTTTAAATGCTGGAGTGAAGACAAAAGACAAATAAAATAAGGCACACTTAAATCGTACCTATTAAGTGGTATACTGCCATAAGTTTTGGTAACTTGCTGGTTTTTTTTTTTTTTTTTTTTTTAAATTTTCACTTTGGTAGGAAATTTAGAGCAATGGCATCTTTAATATTTCTGGTACTACTGTATTAGAATAATCTAAAGTGTCATTTGCTTGTCCAAATTGTGTAATTTGGTATTTATACATTACTGTTGAGTTTTAGATAAATTTTCTCTGTTGCTGTAACTCCACAAGAGGGGAAAGGGAAGGAAATACCAAGGAAGCATTAGTCAGCCAACTATTGATGTTTGTCAACTAATCTCTTCTCCTTTACACGAAAAATACCAGCCTCGTGATATATTTGAAATGCTGTGACTTCACATATGAATATGGGCATAAGTAGTGTGGGTTAGAATCCTTCACAGAAGCAGACATGTTATTCTTTATATTTGATCTTCTAATGTGTAAATGCTTGTCACATTCATTCTGGGTTCTGCTACATATTATCTTATTAGTTCATATCCTGAACTGTTTATGTACAATGTACATTTGACTTAGCAAAGTTTCTGCTTTGCAAATCAATTTGAATGTTAACATTACAAAATGGGGAAACTTGCTAAATTTTCACCTGTAATACTGAGTTATTCCTCAAGTGTTAATTGCTTCATTAACCAACTGCTATGGAGACTTTAGTGTGACTGCATGAACTAGTTCTAACTGATTTTTAATTTTTGTCTAGTATATTTATTGGTATATATTTTGGAGGCAAAAAATGTTATCTATGGAGGCAGAGGGAATGTATGGAAGTGTATAGTACCAACACTGTATGGGTGTGAAGCTTGGGTTTGTAAATGGTGCATGAGGAGGGGGGTTTGGGGGCAGTGGAGATGTCCTGTCTAAGGGCAATGTGTGATGTAAATATTGTGCAGAAAATTTGGAGTGTGGGAAAATTAGAAGGTGTAGTTGATAAAAGATTAGAGGGCTGAAGAGGGTTTGTTGAGTGGTTTGGCCTTTAGAGAGAAAGGATCAAAGTACAATGAATGGAGAGGGGTATAAATCTGAGGGAAGGAAGGGGGGGGGGGTAGGGGTCTCCTCGAAAAGGTTCAGGTAGGGGGTAAAGGGTTTGGGTGAGGATTTGGACTTCCAGCAATGTTGGAGCGGTTTGGATAGGAGTGAATGGAAGACGATGGTATTGGGACCTGACAGCTGTTAGGTGAGAGGATAATATTAGTGAGGATTCAGGGGAAACGGTTATTTTAATTACCAGGAATTTGAGTCCTGGAAAGGGGAAATCAATTCCTGCACTTTAACCCTTAAATGGTCCAAACTTGTATGTTTTTTCAACATCTAAAGTAGTAAAAAATTTTTTTTTTGTTTACAGTGGGAAAAGTGTAAAAAAAAAGTAATCTACTTTGTAAACACACGAATTTTAACGTCGATCTTTTGGACCGTTTAAGGGTTAAGGGGTTTGAGATATTGGCACTTGGAGGGATATATTGTATATTTTTTGTGAATTCTCAAACTGTTGTATTCGGGCACCTCTGCAAAAGTTATTTTGTGAGGTGAACGGTTGATTGATGATTAAAAGTATTTTCTTTTTTGGGATTTTCTTTTTGGGCACTCTCCTCGGTGGGAGATGGCCGACTTGTTGAAAAGTGAAAATAGGAACACAGTACATAATACGCATAAAGTTTAAAAGGTAGGAAGTGGTGGTGGAGCTGCCACAGGGTTTACCTACAGTTAGACATGGTGGTTGGCAAGGTTGTAAATCATTGCACAAGGCAGCACAATAACTTTCTACAAGGTTGTAAGTATTCATTTCTGGCTGTTTTCTGGCTACTTTGTTGTCCTTTAATTAAGGTAACTGATAGGAAAGATTTTAGGCCTTCATTTTTTGTGCAAACTTGTTAACCAGGCTGAACTTGATTCATTATTATTTTTTATTTTTATTATCACACTGGCCGATTCCCACCAAGGCAGGGTGGCCCGAAAAAGAAAAACTTTCACCATCATTCACTCCATCACTGTCTTGGCAGAAGGGTGCTTTACACTACAGTTTTTAAACTGCAACATTAACACCCCTCCTTCAGAGTGCAGGCACTGTACTTCCCATCTCCAGGACTCAAGTCCGGCCTGCCGCTTTCCCTGAATCCCTTCATAAATGTTACTTTGCTTTACACTCCAAAGCACGTCAAGTATTAAAAACCATTTGGGCTCCATTCACTCCTATCAAACACGCTCACGCAGCTGCTGGAAGTCCAAGCCCCTTTGCACACAAAACCTCCTTTACCCCCTCCCTCCAACCCTTCCTAGCCGACCCTACCCCGCCTTCCTTCCATAACAGACTGATACACTCTTGAAGTTATTCTTTTCCTCCAATTTTCTCACATGTCCGAACCCCCTCAACAACCTTCCCCAGCCCTCTGGACAACAGTTTTGGTACCCGCACCCCCTCCAACTTCCAAACTACGATTCTCTGCATTATATTCACACCACACATTTCCCTCAGACATGACATCCCACTGCCTTCCACCCTTTTCCTCGGCAACATTTATCACCCTGCTTCACCCCATATAAGAGCTTGGTAAACTATACTCTCATACATTCCCCTTTGCCCTACAGACAAAGTTCCTGTCTCCACAGACTCCTAAGTGCACCACACATTTTTCTCCCTCATCAATTCTAGTTCACCTCATCTTTCATAACCCATCCGCCCGACACTCCACCCCAAATCGAATACTCACCACCCCCCAACTCCCCTCCCCCCATCTGATATTCATCTTTCATCACCTAATCTTTTGGTATCCTTTATAACTTACTCTTTCCTGTATTCACCCCTTAATTTTCTTCTTTTGCACACCCTACCCAATTCATCCACCAATCTCTGCAGCTCTCTCAGAATCTCCCCAAAAGCACAGTGTCTCACAAGAGCAGCGTACAACTCCCACCCTGTGTGTGATTCTTTATCTTTAACTCCACCCTCTTGCCAAGACCCTCGCATTTACTTCTCTACAACCCCATCTATAAATATATTAACAACCACGGTGACATCACACATCCTTGTCTAAGGCCTACTTTTACGGAAAAAATTTCCCTCCTTTTCTACATACTCTAACTTGAGCCTCACTATCCTCGTAAAAACTCTTTACTGCTTTTAGTAACCTACCTCCTACACCATACACTTTCAACATCTGCCACATTTCCCCCCTATCCACCCTGTCATACGCCTTTTCCAAATCCATAAATGCCACAAAGACCTCTTTAGCCTTATCTAAAACTGTTCACTTATGTTTCACTGTAAACACCTGGTCCACACACCCCCTACCTTTCCTAAAGCCTCCCTTGTTCATCTGCTATCCTATTCTCCGTCCTTACTCTTAATTCTTTCAATTATAACTCTACCATACACTTTACCAGGTACACCAACAGACTTATCCCCCT